TTACAGCATGGCTCAATAAAAGCAAAGTAAAATTTTAACTAAAGGGCATGGTACAGCTGCAATTTATAAGTTGGAGAAGAAAAATGTTATTTAGTCTGAAAACAGTAATTAATTGATAATTATGAGAAATCTTCAAATTTAAAGGTTGAATGTAAAAGAAATCACTGTACTTATAAATGCTTATAAATGCTAAAAGTTGACATTTAGCAATATATTGCTTTAATATGCCCTTGTGAGCCATAGTTGTTTAAACACAATGAAAATGTTTTAAGGTTTAACAAATGCTACTTGATTTCTGAAAGCCTCTCTTTCTTTGAAATGCTCATCGTAATGTGACGATACAGGTTTTCTGCGACTCTTGTTAAATTTCTGTTCTGCATTTTGGTAATGTGTTTATGACTTTTTTTTTTGTTCTTTTGTTGTTGTAATTTAAAAAGAAATGCCATATTTTTAATAAATTTTAACCTGAAACGTGTCTTGGCATATGCTATGCTGAGTTGAAGCTTGTAATTAAAAAAAGAACCAATAATTTAAATGATTGAAATAGTAGAGATGTATTTCCTCTAAAGCATTGGGTGTAATTTAACATCCGATGGTTGCATGCAGAGTGCAACCCACACATGCATTCATAACATATCTGATGCTATTTTAAAACTTGATTGCAACCTGATCTTATTCTGTGCACATTCCTAAACTTTACACATATATAAGATAATGTTTTAGCTTATCTCCTTTTCAATAATTTTGAAAGGACTGCCAGGGGAGTGTACAGTATTTACACTCATGCATCAATATATCTGCATCTCAATGAATTTTAGAAGAATAAATGTTGAATTATTCAGTTAAAACTTGAAATAAGCAAGAAGTAAAAAGGACACAGATTTTCAAATCAGAACATAAAAAAATACTTAACTCCCCTTTCCTCCCCTTCAGAGAGGCAGTTCTGAGAATTCTCATATGATTGGCTTAAAAAACCAGGAAGTAAACACAGCCTCCATGCTGCACCTAACTAGTTCTGCACCATACCTTTATGTTTAAAAGAAAAATTTGAGTCTTTGTTTATAGGAAATGTTACCTCCACACACCAAGTTTGACAAATGAGAACAGAGTTGGTTAATTTTACTTTTTTTTTTAAATATTATAAATTCATTACTCTCTGACATTTTTTATGATTAATTTTGATAGCTATGGCTTATAGTTGGAAACACATATTTGGCTTTTCTCAGAAAACTATAATAAAAGATTCTAATCTAGATGTTAAAAACTACACAAAATTTAGAACTGCTGTGACTTCTGCTTATTGTACAGCTGTTAAGTAGACATCTACTGAATTAGGGAAGGCCATTAAAGGTCACTGCTGAAGAAGCTACTTGGTGTCACAGCACTGTCTGCAAGGATTTTAATGGAAATGTTATGGAAGAAAAATTTGTTGGAAAAATTAGGGAGGGTAGAAAACAGCCTTAGAGAATTGTGAGGTAAAGCCCATGTAAGACTCATGGTGCATGAATAGAGTCAGTGCTTTAAGAGCCAACAAATCTAGATACGAACAAACCAGAGAGGCACACAATACTGCCGGTAAAGATTTAAAAAACCATCTCATCTGCTAATTTTCCGAAGGGATTGCTTTGCTTGTTGCTCAACATAACCAACCAGTCTCTCTTCGATCTTCATGAATGATGCATTTTTTTTGTCCATTTACATGTCAAGTAATCCCAAAGCAAGTAATCCCATTTGCTGTATCCAGGATTTTTAAAGGTCTAGGTTGAGGATAGTGTAGGGTGCTGAAAATAGCTGTTAATTTCTCTGCAGACCCCAAACATCCTGTAGTCTTTAAAATTTTGTTTAGGGCACTAACAGGCCCCCACAAAAAGAAAGTTTCCATTTCCTTTGCTTTCAATTTGATGAACACTTAACAGTCCCATAGTGCTCATATTAATACCAAGCATATTTCAATTCAATTCAGTTTATTTATATAGCGCCAATTCACAAAACATGTCATCTCAAGACACTTAACAGTTCAACCAGATCATACAGTCAAATTGATTCAAAGTTTTCTATCTATGGAAAACCAGTTGATTGCATCGACTCATCGACTCAAATGCAATCCCTCACACTAAGCATGCTTGTAGCGACAGTGGAGAGGAAAAACTCCCTTTTAACAGGAAGACACCTCCAGCAGAACCAGGCTCAGTGTGAGTGGCCATCTGCCGAGGCCGACTGGGGTTCAAGGAGACAGAAGCAGAGAAACAAAAAGCAGGTATGAAAGGCGGCCCTGTCCAGGAAACACACAGCCAGGCAGACGACCTCCAAGCCAGCTCCCATGTCAGAGGATGATGTATTTTCTTCCTCTTTTATAAGAGCATTGAATCTCCCTCTCTTTTCCTCGATCTTGTTCAACAACTTCATTGCCTCTGGTATCCGACTCTGAATTAGTTTGAATATTACTTGAGCTTTTGAGATGTTGATAAGGTGCTCCCAGTTGTAAAAATAGCTCTGATGCAAAAAAAAAAAAAAAGTTTAAATAAAGGGATATCAGCAAAACAATCCTTCCAGCAGCACAGCATTAAGAAGTAGAAGGGAAGAAAATAAAAAGGTGAAAATTGATTCAAAAGAGGAAATTCTTAACAGAATATATCAAATTCAAACAGAGAAAACTACTCAGGCATGCAGTTATCTTACGCACTAGCAGTTCTAGAGTGTTTTAACGTGCATTTTTCACATTTTCTGAGGAAATGTTTTATTGGCTGTAAATAAAAGAATCAACACACAATATATTTTTCAGTGTGTAATCAATCAAAAATATACAAGTTTAACTTCTCAAATGTACTTGCTAAAATAAACCTGTAAGGTTTGATGACATTTCATTTTTTTGAGAGACATAAATCCTCTAGTCTCATTCTGTCTCCTGAGCTTATGAACACGTGTGACTTGGGTTGGGCATGTTTAGGCTTGCAGCTTCTGGGAAGCACACCTACATAGACTCACTGTTCAAAGGAAAAACAAGCGGAAGTCTGACAAAAAAAAAGAAAAAAGAATAGGTGCTGAGGAATATTCCCATGCCACTTTAATCAACTTATTTCCTGGTTTTTAAGCTGCCTATGTGTCAAATTGTAGCGTTTTATAAAAAAAACAAAGTGTCAAAAATTGTGATATCTACCTTTTTAAAGTTACTCCTTTATTCTAACATGCCCCATATTTGACACTAATGTGAAAGGAACTAATTAAAATCTTCATAATTAAGAAGAAAGTCTGTATATTCAAATAGCAAGAATACCTTTGCTGAGATTAATGATAATTAAAAAAAAAACTCTGGAAGTGTATATTTGGCCTGTGTCTATTCTTAAACTATAAATGCCTTTTTCTGGCTGATATTAAGTCATCAATCACTAACGGACAAAATGATTAATTGTTTGAGCATTTTTCTTCATCACAAGCCTCTCTGAAAAGAAGCACGGAGGAGAGATTTTTGAGAGCTTCCAGAACAAACCTAAGTAGGAGGACTAAAGGAGAAGCAGGGGAGCGGTGGCCTAATGGTTAGAGCATTGCGTTTGGGTGCTGGAAGTTCTGAGTTCAAGTCCCACTACTAAGGATTGCCACTCTGGGTCCCTGAGCAAGACCTGTAACCCCACACTGCTCCCTTGGAGCTGCACAATGGCAGTCCACTGCTCCCAAAGGGAATGTGTGAAATGCATCTCTCATCTCTGGAGTTGGGGCTCAATTCTGTGAGAAAAATTAGTCACATATTGTGTGTGTTTCAAAAAATCAGTAGAACTTGAAAATTTACACACCTGGTAACAAGGCTGTCTATTAAATATCTTCACAAAAAAAGTGGCCTAAAATATTTTTATTTTGATTAAAGTCTTTAAAAGAAGCATTTAAGTCCTTTGTTCAGATGTTATAATATTGGATATCCACATCTAAGTTAGATAGGAACCTGTAAATATAGGCTTTTTAGGTGATTTTCCAACATGAAAACATTAACATTTGTAACATCTTGTAGAGGCTGGTTATAATGTGATTCCTATTTTGAAATGTAAAATACACTGTTATAATGTTCAGAAGAACAAAATTCTATGAAAATAAAGTTGATTGGTAAGACGAAAAGGATTCAAATAAGAAAATGTCTCTGGCTGAAATATGTTAGGGTTATAGAAATTGAGAGGGTTAGGTTTTCATTTACTTAAGAAAAGAAATTAAATTATGATATCAGAACTACTGATTAGGTCTAAACATAAGGGGTCATCTATTTAGTTATATCAAAAATAACTGAAGATGTCATTACCACAAAGAGGAAATGCTGTGGAACTATGTTTAAACAAGATAAGGACATCATGCAAACCAGTAAGGGATCTGCATCTTGGTTCTTTATTAACAGTTAGTTAAATCAGCCTTAAACTACCTCAATTTGGGAAACTTATATGAATCTGATAGATTTGTATTTAGTAATACAGTTATTTTTGAACAAAACAGTAGGTAAGAAACATTTATATATTTTCCAGGTATATTTTTTTATTTGCGAGTTATTTATTTTTTTTTATCCCAAAAGCAACAGCATGTTCCTTAGTTTTTTTTTTTTTTTTCTTGAATAATTACCTCCTAGTTAGATATTTCTGAGGAAATCTGGCACATCGCTTAGGTCCACTTTAAAGCACCACTGTGGCAGCACACCGACTTCTTTATTTATTGAATTGGTTTTATGGTTTTATATTAGGTTTGAGTGGGCATGGATAGGAAACTCATCACATCGCCCCGCAGCGCAGAAATCCCCCACTTCACACAATAACACATGTGACTTTACAGCTTTTCATTAGCGCTCCCCATCCACGAAGCTTTCTGCGTGGGCAGCAGTCAAGCTTACAACGATCGCTTGTGTCAAACTGTTTCTTGTAAATACCCAGAGTTCAGAGAAGGAATGCTTCCTGAACGCGCCGTTAGAGGCGCAGCGATTGGTCGAACCAGGAAGCCCCGCCCACACATTTTCATTCATCTACCGCAATAAACTTTAAAGACGGCTTGTTCAGGAAAGCGCACTTTATTTACTCCGAGGCTTCTAACAGCATCACAAAGAGCTCAACAACCCATTTGACTGTAAGTATTTCACTTTTGCTTTATACAGGTTGATGGAGTGATATGTATATTCTTTACATTGTGCAATATTTATTTTTTTGAATTTGCTATTTTAGATTAGACTTAAAAAACAAAAATTTCCCCATTAGCCCTACTATTTTTTTTTTTCTAACTGTCTGTGTGTATGTGTCTGTTTAAACACGACTTTCCCTGATTCTTATCCTTCCATGTGTTTTTTGTATATAGGTGAAAGTGAACAGTCTGAGGTAAAAGAAGGATGTCAAACTCAGGAGGTCGCAGATTGAAGCAGTGGCTGATGGAGCAGATCCAAAGTGGTCAGTATTCTGGGTTGCAGTGGGAGGATGAGAGCCGCACCATGTTCAGGATTCCTTGGAAACACGCAGGGAAGCAGGACTACAACCAAGAAGTTGACGCATCTATTTTCAAGGTTTGAGTTCCCTGGAAACACTCTGTGTGTTTCTCCCTGCAGTGCTTTGGGTAAAAACCAAAGCTAAGGGGGAAAATATGCTTTCTCTGTGTCTTATTTATGAAGCCTAATAAAAAAACAAAAAAACAATATTTTCTTTCTTTTTCTTTCTTTCTTTCTTTCTTTCTTTCTTTCTTTCTTTCTTTCTTTCTTTCTTTCTTTCTTTCTTTCTTTCTTTCTTTCTTTCTTT